CAGTCTCTTCTAAGAATAAAAAGCAGCTTCGTAGGAAAATTTCAAGTACCACCTCACTTTTGGACCCTGTAGAAACTATCAAGAGAGCAAAGTTGGGGCTTAACTCCAGAATTCTCCAAGAAATAGCAATTAGGTCTTCATTTCTGAAGCCCAGGATTTGTGAATTGAACAGAGAAGGAATATTATCCTTTACCTGGAATAGGATGCATGTGAGAGTTTTGTACTTCAGACTGGTCAGAAGTTTGTTACTTTCTACAGTGAGTGATGTTCTTGTCCTGATTTTCAAAAATTTCTTCACACTGTGGTGTTTTCTCCTCACATGGGAATCACTTCTGCCTTGGTTATTCTTCTCCCTGTTCAGAATTGTCTCTTTGGAAAGGATACTGCCTAGAGTGAACTACTGGTCTGCAGTTAGAGGAGTCTTAAAACAAAACCAAAAAAATAACCAAAACATTTTTACTCTGCTTGCAAAAGTTGGAGACAGTGTGCCCAGCTGGCGTTGGACTTTGAAGGGTGAAGATAGACATTAACCAGCACATCGCTGAGTGTTTTCACATCTTTTCTTTCAGCCAGTCCAGTGCATGCTATTGTTGTGACTATAGGAAGTGTTCTCTGTACACAACTTCAGAAAATTGTCTTCAGTATACCACTATTATAGAATGAATAATTGCACTTAAAGGTGAATAATAATTATGATAGAACTAAGGACAAAACAGTTCATTTGGAATTCTGGAGAAAAGTTCTTCCTTCTCACATATGCGCATAACTTCATCTGGATCTTATAACTCTATATTTGCATTTTATTTATTACTTTTATTTTGTGTGTATGACTGTATGGCCTGTATGTCTGGAAGTACACCCATGTCCTGCAGTGCCTGAGGAGGTCAGAAGAGGGCTTCGGATTGCCTGGACCTGTAGTTATAGACAGTTGTTAGCTGCCATGTAGGTGCTGGGTGCTGGTAATCAAACCAAGGTCCATCTCTTCAGCACCAACCCTTCTCTTAATATATATAATATTATATATCAGATATCATATATCACAAAAATTCATCTCTAAATTTTTCTGCTTTTCTCTAGCACTGTAATGTAGCTATTTCCATGGTTAGATGTGCTTTTCAGTTAACACCATGAACTTAGTAAGAATAGCATACTCTGTCTTCTATTTTGTCCCAGAAGAATGTTGGAGTAGTGAATAATGAAGCAGCTTCTTGAAGTACATTTTAAATAACCTGAGACAAGCATACATGTCATTACTAACAGTTCACATGCTGAATAGGGATAAAATCTTCTCTTCTAAGAGACTCTGAAAGCACACCATTTAATCAGCTGCTCTAAAACATGCTCTCAAAATATCTTGGGCATTTACATTTTACATTATTTTATTTACTTAGTGGAGATGGCATTTATTGACAGGAGTCACTTCCTACTTGTATTGTTTAAATACTAAATATCATGGAGCTCACTATATGGCAGTCTCCATTTATCCTCTGTCATAGCTTATATCATTGCACTGTAAATGTTATTATGCAAGTACAAGAAGGAGTATCATTAAGAAGAGAATAAGAGAGAGATGGGTAGGATGTTAGGTAGGCATCAAGAGGAATAGGGTGGGGAGGCCAGAGGAGCCTGTTCAGTGAGCAGCCTTCACAGTAATTTCTCTAGCCATCACCTTGAAAAATCTGTGAACCAAACCCCTGAACAAAGGAAAAGTCTGGGTTTTTACCACCTATTAGGGGTGATGAGAAGTTTTACATCACATGATTTAGTTCAACATGGAGGATATCCATGTATTGGTTAAGACAATAAATCAGAGGCTGCTATTAAGCCACAGCATAGACAGCTTCTTAACCCTTTCCCATTCAGAGCAGTGGGGAGGCATGGCCTGCTTCAGGCTCTAAAATCTGACCTAAATCTGTAGGCCAGTGTTCTAACACCTCCCACCACTTCTCCAAACTCCAATATGCTACGTCTCCTGGAATTATTGCTTTTACTGTATTTGTACTTGCTGAATTGCATTTCCATTGATCTAGAAGGAAAATTCAGTCAACTTTGATTGTAGTGACTTTTTCATCTATCATATTTGATTTTAAGCTTTTTACTGAGGCTTTAGATTATTCAAATCATCCTATTAGTGTTAACATTCTAACTGCGTTTTCAGCATTTTCTTCTGTTAAGTAATTCTGATATTTCTACATTATCACATGGCTATTATATTAATCAAAGTTTTTCAGAGAAATAGTCATAGGAGAATACACAGACATACATACAGATAGACACACACAAACTATCTCTTCATCTCTCTCTCTCTCTCTCTCTCTCTCTCTGCAACTCAACACACTTGAAAAGGAACAGCAAACAAAACCCAAACCCTGCAGAAAAGAAAATATATATATGAGGGCAAAGCATTGTGAGGAAGCTGTGTGGATGCTTGCAGACCAAAAATCTCTGATCCAGTGTAGATATAATGAAAGACATGCTTGTTTATCAATACATTCCTTAGTATTCACGGCTCTCGCATGGGAATGAGTACTTCAGTGGCAACCCAGAGTTCTGTGGTGGAGTCAACAGTCTAGCACTCTCGATATCCTCACACCAGCATGGATGTCAGTCACCATTTGTTGTTCCAGTTTTTTACTCTTTTTTTTTATTATACTAAAGTAGGAGATAATTTTTAAGCCCATGTGTCTATCTAAAAACAACACTAGTAATATCAGAAAGGACTATATATCATGTTATATTTTGTGTGAGTAATGAAAGTGATTTCTTCATTGTACATTGCCATCAGGTTTATTCTTGCTTCTTTTATAGATACACTGCTTCACTCCTTACTGCTATTCCTTTTGACCATTTATGGAATCTTATTTTCCTCTTAATGCATGCTTCCCTTCTTCACCTTTGATCCCAATACTTCTCTTAACTTGATTATCAGGCATTGCTATATTTAATGTTTTCTTTCAGTGTTTAATATGGACTTTTATTCATTTTTGTAAATGTTAGCATGCTGATCCAAAATAAACTGATAGAGCGGATTATTTACATGGTGACTTAGAAGGATTAGCATATTAAGTTAGCTGAAAGTACCTGGAATGTTTACCAGCTTGAGTCTGCTGTCTTCCAACAGATTACATAATGAACAGTAATGGTACGGGCAGCTACAGGAGCAATGATTCAGCAATTTGTCAGCTTCGGCTTTTGGTTAGCTTTCTGAGACTACTAAAACTTTCACATGCATTTCTCTTAATTACATGTGATCTTGCCATGCCCAGTAGCATATTTCCTATTTTTTAAAAAAGGAGGAGAAATTAAAAAGGCCTAGTAGGGGAAAGTTGTCACCAAGATCACTACTAGGAGGCTGAACATGGTACAGAAATGTGGTAGCAACTAGGATGCCCAAGAGGCGATCAGCAATGCTCCCAGGCGGAACAGCATCCATTTTCTGACACAGGTGTGAACAAAATTCAGTGTCACCTTAGCCTGATACTGAAAGAAATGGAAACACTGTGGCATGGATGTGCCTTGTCACCTCCTGTGGACAGAAGCTATCTCTGCTTTGTTCAGTTTTCTCAGTATCAAAACTGTAAGTCACTACTCTACTTAGTATTATTTTTTAAATTATTTATTTAATAACCACATAATTAGAAGAAGCATTTCATTACAACAGCATTGACATATTCAATAACATTTTCCAGAGCTAAAATGCATCTCCTTCAAAATTGGCTGTAAATTTTTAAGTTTACAGTTGAGTTAATGCAGTTATACAATATTGTACTCAGTATAAACCCTATAAGACATAAAATTTAATGAAGTTTTAACCTTTAAAAAAGGTCTCCATTTCATTAGTTAAATACACAGTTTCATACAGAAAAATTCATTTTTAATGCAATTAACACTTAGATGTTTGCAACTGTGTGTCTAATCTCTCTATATATCTGATTATTACTAGTCATAGTCAGTTACTTTCTGAGATCCTTGGCACCTGAGCATGGATATAAAGTCATCAGGTAGATTTCAATGGTAATGTTTTTCACATCTACTAATTAATAAGGAACAAATTTTTATGCTTTGGAGAATTATGTTTTTTAATTTTTTATATTTAATAACCACATGATAGAAGAAGCATTTCATTACAGCTTTAACATATTCAGTAATACATTCCAGAGCAAGGATACATCTCTTTCAAAAGTGTCTGTAAATTTTTAGATTCACAATTGAATTAATATTTTTAATTGAATGACTTGAAAGTCCTCACCTGTAATAATGTCTAAATTTCCAAACTATAAAGTATCTAAAGGTTTTCTGTATCCAGAAAGCCATTCAACTGATGATGTCTTTTGCTAAACACTTCCTATTAGAAAAGAAGGTAAGAATTAATACAGATTTATATTAACATACATATATCAGTAATAGGCAGAGATTAATCCCTTTCTGTGCTAATAACATCAGTTTAATCCTGTAGGCGAAATAAGAAAGTAGGTGACGAACTTGGTTTCAAGAAAAGCTATTATATTCCATATCCTCAAAGATTCCATTTGTTCAAAGGAGTTAGAAAACATATCTGGTGCCCGGGGTCATAAGTAATGATCATTGAAAGGCAATTTCCAGGGGAAGAAGGCACATTGGTTACAAAGATGAGATTAAATACTGGATGCATATTTGGCAGCATTTCATTATTTGAACAAGCAAAGGTGATAATTGATACCATAGTGCATAAAAAAGAATGTATGTTCCCATGATGAAAGTTTCTTTTTTAAAAAAGTTATTTAAATTTTATATACATTGTGTACTGTTCAGAAATTGCAATGATTTTTCAATAATTATACTGTGATATGGTCCTCAACTTGCCCTCAATTAAATATAATCTTCTCAGCAGACTCTTAGAGGCTATATTTGAATGAGATTTACAATTTTTTATTGCAATGGGTAAACACTATTAATAGTTATAATAAACTGTGTTTAGTATCTTATTCATAATAATTTTACCTGCTTTGTGTTTGTATAAGGTTGCCATTACCTCCTGGGGCTTTTTCCGGACTCTGGAAGAATCAGGAAGCATTCAAGCATTTATACTTTGAGAAATTTCCTGTAAGAACTTTAATATACCTAAAACTTCTTTTTGTGTACTTTTATTTTTTACTCAGAAACTTGAACAACTTGCTTCTCTTAGCATAGATCAAAAAAAGTTCAAGTTACATGCAACAGTTTCCAGATCTTAGGAATAACAATAACCAAATCACACTTATCTAAACATTAGGGTAAATATCATTAGTCTCTAGATATATCAATTTCTAAGCTGCTCTTAGTAATTATTAATATTAGGATAAAAAATTAAATCCAAATGTATATTGGAGTGTCCATTGGATATCTCTGCATAGTAATAGATGAACTAACCAGAATTATAGATGACAGTAATACCCTTAACCTCCTCTACTCTTAAATATAGGAGTAAAATCTATTTGACTTGTCCAGAAGCTGTATGTTTTTATCTTTTTACCTATTTTTGGCATTCTTTCCTAATAATTTTTAAAAATTCTATTTAAAAGTTATATACAATATATATACAGGTTATAGGCAGTATTTTTTGTTTTGTTTTGTGTTTGTTTGTTTGTTTGTTTCAACAGGCTCTCCCTTGTCCCCAGCCCATCTGGAACTCACTATGTAGATCAGGTTGGCCTTGATCTCACAGAGATCTATCTGCCTCTGCCCGACTAAAGGCGGTATTTATAAAGTCCGGTAGCTCACTACAGTGGTCTGAATGACAAAGATTATCTTCCTACATCTCATTTGGTCATTCACCTGTTACTCCACACCAAGGTGATGTATGTTTTGCTTTCATAGTGACATTTTGGTGATAATACATATCAACATCCTACCCTCATCTTATTTTTATTGCTCACTAGGTAAAAATGAATGAATGATAGGAATTTCATATAAACAATGAGACCAAGTATTTAGTATTCTATCTTTATTGTGTATAAATAAAAGATGGATTACCTAGTCAACTAGACAAATGATAAGGATTAAAATAGCTTTCTTTAGAAAGAAATGTCAGAGTAAAATGACCTCAACAGTTGAGATTTAATATTCCCATGATGGACTGTGGCAGAAAGATTTGTCACTCACGTTTTGACTACATTCAACTATTTCTATCTCATTTGCCACAGATAAGTCATTAGGGCACTAAATAATAATAATTTATTATTATCTGTTAATGCCAAGTAATACGTGCATGCAGTTTTAAAAGAATCGCCTTAGTATCAAAAGCTCCCTCAAAGCCACAGTACGTGGTTAAATTACATGAAATGGCTCTGTAGTCTGCCTTGTTTCCTGTCCTCATGCGACTCATCTACAAGCTTAATAAAAGCCTGGGTCAGGAAACTTACTCAGAGTTCATGCAGGTTAGATGGGATAGGGCTGAGGCTGGAACAGAAATAGCCTGGCTCCAGAGTTCATGTTCATCACTGCTTTTCTAGGTGGCCCTACATAATTACACTCTTGCAATAAGAGCTGCAACTCCTGAGGGCTTATGGTGTGTCTGAATCTGTCCCTTCCTTTATATGCCACTTTGTTAAAAATTCACCGAAGTCTCTTCAGGGATAATTCATAAGTTCAATTATGATAGGATCATATCTGATTTTAGAAAAGTTAAAAAAATACAAATAGTTCCTTACTGTGATTTGTACTAAAGACAACTCTTAAACATAGTTATCAAAATAACTTAGAAGCATCAGAGAAAGCAATATATATTTCTCATTCAACTTTTTATTCTTGATCCTCCTTCTTTTGTGATTTTTAGATCAGCGAAGCTGTTTTGAGTTGATGAAAAATTAAATTTCATACTATTGAATTTAAATGGGTCTTGAGTTCAAGCCTAATCCATGTTGATAAACTAATGTTTATTTTGTAATTTTTATAAGGAGATTTTTAATAATTAGAAAGTAACTTAATCAAGGAATTATTTTGGAATACCAAAGTGCATTAGAATTGTTGGAGACATTGTTTCTCCATTAAGGAAAGTCATTGGGTTCATAAACTACAACTGTAAGTTCAAACATTTAACTTGAACATATATAAGAACATTTTAACTTATTTCTGCCTGTTATAGGGAACAAAATTTTTGATTAGGATTCAAACTCAAAAATGATTTAATTCCAAAACCTATTTTAAAAGTCAAGTTCTAAAAGTAAATCCATTTCTATCACATTTTATATTTTTCAAGATTTAAAATGATTGTTGCATACTATTGCATGCTAACTACATGTCTGTATTCTTATTTTCAGGGATATTATGATACGATGGATGCTGGTTACATGGACGAAGAAGGCTATGTATATATTATGTCTCGAGTTGATGATGTAATAAATGTTGCAGGCCACAGGATTTCTGCAGGTGCTATTGAAGAGGTATTAATGTACCCTGATATTCTGTTCCAAGCAGTGACTATGAACAGGGATGATTGAAAAAAACCTGCACATCAGACACCTAGAAAATTACAACACTCATCATTTGTGTCAAAAGCTATGCTCTGTTCTCTCTCTCTCTCTTTCTTTCTCTCTCTCTCTCTCTCTTTCTTTCTTTCTTCTCTCCCCTCTGCCTCTATCTTACATTTGTATGGATTTTCATGTTCTCCATACCCATGCTAGGTGGTACTGAGACATTTTAAGTACTTACATGTATCTGTTATTTGTGGAAGTCCCTGTACACATTTGCCTTTTACTACTTGCTATTTAATCACCTCTAGTTTAATCACCTCTGCATCCATCACTACAAGACAGAATCATTTTAATACTGTCAGAGAATTCTTTAATGCACTTTTATATTTCAATGTTCATAACTCTTATTAACCCTGACTTTTTCTTTGCTCCTATGTTTGTGGCTAACACAGAATTCCATACAAATAGCACAAGCGTGGTATTTCAACCTTTGAGACTGGAGTATTTCACTTATATTGATGATTTACTTAAGTGGCTACGGATATCAGAAGTTTGTGTTTTTAACATTACTGTCATAGTATTAAACTGTGTGAAGGTCCTGATGAGTTTGTGCATCTATTTATACAGTAAGGACAAATGAACTTTTCTAGTTTTGGACAATTGTCTATAATAGTATTGTATACACTCAAGTATAGGTTTCTCTGTTGCAACTGTTTAATTGCTGTGGCTAAATGCTCAAAGTATTGTTGCTGGATTATATAATTATACAAGCATAAGGTTATGAGAAACTGCTAACCTTTTCCTTAGTAGACATGCTTTTCTGTTTAATCTACAAGTAGCTTCTGGTGGCGCTTATTTCTCCTCATTCTTCACAGAACTTGGTGGTTTTACCAATCTTTAAACCATTCAAACAGCTGCCTGGAAGACTCTGTCTCCTTGCAGTCATACACCACCCCTGGTTCTTAATAATCTTTCTGCCCCCTCTTCCTTAATGGTCCTTCTTTATTAAGCCAAACTCAGAAAGATTTTTTTCTTCCTTTCATTTCAACTAAGAGTTTTGTTATCTTTACTTTGTGTTTTACTTTAAAAGTTTATAAATTTATAAATTATATCTCTTTGAGTATATATTTGAGTTATTTTTATACATGGTAAAGTATGAATGTTTGGAATTATTTTTAACAAGTAATGCCATTTTTTCGCAGTGTAATTTGTCTTTTCCTCATTGAATCATTTCTATATATTTGCCAAAAATCAGCTGATAAAATGTGAATCTTGTAGGTTTGGTACAACTCATCTGTTTCATGGGTCTATGTGTTTATCCTTTCACCAACACCAGCCAATACGTATACTTCAGCTCTGTGAGCGATCTTAAGTTTGAGTAGTGTGTTTCCGCACTTGCTATTCCGACTCAGTATTTCTTTAGCTATTTCAGTTCCTCCTTTCACGGATATACTTTAAAATGTACTTTTCTATAGCTACAATGAATCCATTTATGAATTATGACTATTCTATCAAATCTACAAGTTGTGCTAAATCTATAGATTGCTTTGAGAAATTCATTTCTAAATGACATTGTATCTTGCCATTTGCAAGCTCTGTATATTCTTCAATAGGTTTCATCAGTATTTTGTGCTTTTATGATATATTTCATGAATATATGTTGATAGATTCATACTCAAATATTTGTTATTTCACTATTGGGATATACTTTTTAAAAAATAGTTTACAGAATTTCATGGCTAGTAGGCGTTAACTGTTACTGACTTTCTTATACTATTATACATTCTGTGATTTTGCTAAATGTACTTAACTAATCTGAATGGATTTTGTTTTCTTTAGGTTTCTTGATATGTTCTGTGTAAACAATCTTGCTATGTTTGTTTTCTTTTTACTTCTTTTCAACCTGAATGTTTTATATGTATTTTTTAAGCCCTTTGGCCCCTTATCTGACATTAGTGAGAATGATGAGAGCCCACAGGCTGACTGGAGGGGCTGGAGCTAGGCATCTTCCTTCCTCAGGTTAGACTTGGCCATAACCCCAGGAAGTTTAGCTTGAGGCAAAGCAGTTTCTCTTGAATGTAGACCTCACTAAGAAAAGCAGAATGTTCTAAAGTGTTTCAAACTAGTTCCATCTCTTTACTTCACACATGAATTATGAGGTCATTTTTTTTTTTTTACTCTGACATTCATCTCTGCTCTAGGATGTGAAACACTGAAGATTTGAGGGGTGAGGTTTTCAACTCTCAGAAATGTCCAGATTGAGCATCCAGCAATTTATCCTTTACCTTTCGGGTTATCCTATTCCTTCACTTGTTTCTAAGACATTTGCTTCAGGAAAGCTTGGTAATCATGTCCCTTCTCTGTCTTTCCAATTTTGGTGCAGCATTTTGCCCCGTGACCTCACTCTCTAATGCATCTGAAAAAATCATTGACGTTTTAACGTTGGCTTGTGATCGGTTTGTCAAGATGGAGTGTTGACTTTGAAACTTCTAAGTGCAAACACCAGATCGATGTCAAACCTTTCTTTGTTCTGGCTCATAGGATTCCCTCTAGCGTGTCTTTGGGTGGTAAGCTGGGGCTTCACTTTCAGATATTGTTACCAGGGTTTATTTCCACAATGTATCTGAGCACAGCATCCCTGGGGAGCAGTCAAGGATCCTTGTGACTTCTGGTACTTCCTGGTGCAGCAGGGCAAGTCAGCAGAAATCCACCCAGGTTCTTCATGGATTCTCATGGGGAAGGCAAGTAACAATTATTCCTTCTGGGCCTTTAGTGTAGGGTGATGAGACTCCAGGTCTCCGTCTCACAGGATGAAGCATTTGCTCTTGAGGAAGGAAGGGGCTCAGATGCCTTATTTGTATTCCCTTAGTGTGAAGGGTGGAGAGGCTGCAGGAAAGGCCAGGTCCTGATTCTTTCCTGGTACACATCTAGAGCAGGAAGATAAAGTTTATTCCGAGACTCCTCTATTCCTTCTTCTGAGCCTCTGGCAAGGGATAACAGGTTTTTCTTGCATCTTTTTCTTGTTGTTGTTACCGTTTACGCTCACTGACGTTTCCACATTTTTAGTAGCTTTAGCCCCCAGACCAGAATATATGGAAGAAAAAATATGAAACAGTTTGATAAATTCTTGATGTGAATCTTAGAAAAAAGTTTATATTTTTATATACAATAAAAATATATGTTTATAGATATATATGATTAGACTGTAGAAGTTGTACCATCTTGGAAAAGGAGGTGCTAGTAAGAGGAGGGTGGATTAGATAGGACTAGCTGGAGGCATAGAGCTTATGGAGAAAGTGCATATGAACTTGATTGAAATGTCCTCATGAAGCCCAACTCCACATGCAATGAATAGATGCCAACAAAATTTAAATTCTACATTTTAAAAAGAAAGACAATGAGAGATTTTTGTCAACTACTTTTTTGGGGGGGGGGCGCTTCTAGCCCTTTATTTATTTTTTTGTCTTTTTGAAGCAGGGTCTCCCTGTAGCCCCAGCTGTCCTGGAACTCACTATGTAGACCAGGCTGGCCTTGAACTCACAGAGATCTGCCTGCCTCTGCCTCCCAAGTGCTGGGACTACAGGCGTGTGCCACCACGCCCGGCTGTCAACTACTTTTATATCATAGTTTGTGAAACAATTTTAAACCATAATTTCTAAAACATTGTACTTACTAGAGGAAATTATGTATATTGTGGATTTCTCAAAGCATTATGAAATACTCCAAGGAACTAATAGTTACATGAATTTGGTCATTTGTATCTGAAAATATGAGATTGAGAAAGTGCTATTTAGCCATCAAATATCTGATATGGTCTGACGTGATGGTACCCATCTTTAATCCCAGTACTCTGGAGGCAGAGGCAGATGGATCTTTGGAAGATCCAGACCAACTGGAGCTTCAGGGAGACCCTGTCTCAAAAAACAAAAATTGAACAAAATATGATGTGTATTCTAGCTTAGCAGTTTTTCTTTGTAATTGGTGGAAGAGAGAATATGGAACTAACTAAAAGATAGTTACTTTATCTTTTCTACAACAAAATCCCAGAATAGTTCTTAAATTGCGTGGAATAAATACAGTGCAATTTAATAAAAGAAAGGGTTTAAAAAAACATGATTAACTGTTGGGAGCTGTTATTTGACAATTAACAATTCAATATATCAAGAGTGACAGACTCAAAGGCCCAATTCCTCTTCCTTTAATTAGCAGACATTTACTTTCTAAGGCCATGCCTGGCTTTAGGCAAAACTTAATTCATCTCATTATGATGAATGTTCTTTTTTCTTTATCTTAGTCAAAGTGATGTTTTGGGGTTAAAAATATTATACAATATTCTAGAACATGTGACTTTTAAAGTTATTATAATATCTTGTTAAGAAATGACAGCATTTTGTGATAAACTGAAATTGAAATTTATACTTCATGTACCTTGGTGTGTTGTCAAAAGGTGGTTCTGCCTGCAAGAACTTTTAATTTCTTGTTTGTAGATTAGCTCCAAATGTATATGTATGTCTTACAGCCTGAGCTAATCAAAATATGAAGATGATACTTGCACGATTCATATTGTCTGTCAAAATTCCTACTGTGTTTATTTTTAGAATGAAAACAGAACTTGTACCCTATTCAAGTCTATATTGTACTTTTCTTTTTTTAACATTTTATTTATTAGTTTATTTTATGTGTATGAGTTATTGCCTGCATGTAGGTAAGTGCACCCATGTCGTGCAATTCCCACAGAGGACTGAAGAGCTGTCGGATCCCCTGGAACTGGAGTTACAGATAGTTGTTAGCTGCCATGTGAGTGCTGGGATTCAAACCCAGGTCTTCTGCAAGAGCAACCAGTGTTCTTAACTGCTAAGCCATCTCTCTGGCCCCTATATTGTACTTTTCAACCTTAATACTCAGAGCCTTTTCTGCTATGGACATCGTCAGAGTTTAGGCAAGCTAAAGAGAGACAGATAAAGTAGAAAAAACAAAACTCAAATTATTGGCTTCCAACAGAAATTTTGTCACAAGGTCTTAGGATATTTGCAGCAATAATAAAATACTTTTCAACCTTCAACTCTGTTATCTCTGTTTATATAAATAAATAATACAATTTTATTGAATATTTGTGTTTAATAAGAAATTACTCATTTCGTTTCATATCTGTTGTTTTCTCTATAGTTGGACCCTCTTATAGAGTCAGCATCTTAGTGGCAATATTTTGCTCCTCATAAAATTGCTTAGAAAATTGATTTGTAGCGTGGACCTGATTATTTAAGCAGTCTTTATTAACATGTCTAATCCTTCCTATTTAATTTCTATGGTTTTTAAGGATGAAAGCTGTATTCCATTAAAACTTTTAGAAGTAGAATATAATATTTTTGAATAATAATTGAGAAGACATTGGAGAACATGTGACCTTTATGTACTATTATACAATTACCTTGATTTGAAATGACTGTATTTTGCAGTAACTTAAAATTGAACTGTGTTTTAGTGTGTTATCAGAAGGATGTGAGGATCTATGTTCATTGAAAATTTCATTAACATAAAAATGCTGCCGGGCATGGTGGCACATGCCTGTAGTCCCAGCACTTGGGAGGCAGAGGCAGGCAAATCTCTGTGACTTCAAGCCCAGCCTGGTCTATATAGTGAGTTCCAGGCCAGCTAGGACTACAAGAGACCCTGTTTCAAAAAGACCAAATACATATATATATTTAGCTAATTGCTGACTTTCTTTTTGGTCTTTTTGAGACATGATCTTTGCATAGTCTCAGCTTTCCTGGAACTCACTGTATAGACCAGACTGGCCTCTGTCTTACAGAGAGCTCCACCTGCTTCTGTGTCCCAAGTGATAGGATTAAAGGCATGTACCACAACAACTGACTGATTTTCTTAATATGGTGAAACCTATCTTCTTTAGTTTCCCTAAGAAAAATATTTACAAATATATTACCTTATATAACATGAAATCAGGAGCTATTCTATTAAAATTACTGTGAAAATATTTTAGATATAGCTATTCTTTCCATTACTTATATGAGAAAATGGAGCTGTAGAATAGTTTTTTTAGAATAGTTTTTTTAGAATAGTTTCATAAATATAAAAGGATAGTACTCTTACAGATCCCAATAATGGCCTTCTTTGACTACTGAGTGATAAGATGTATTTTAACAGCTGATTAATCTTTGAAAGCGTAGAAAAGTGCTAGATACTTGGGAAGCTTGGTAGAAATTCTTTTAGAAGTTGGGACTAAAATCTGTTAATTCTAGACTGGTTCGAAAACTGGCAGGAGCTAGCATGATCCCTCTTGTTCGGCTTTCTCTCAGTGCATGGACAGTGTCTGTAGGAAGGCAGAAGGGCTCACAGGTTGCATTCTTTCACTTGCAACTTAAGTTTCAGTTTTTTAATTAATATCACTAATATTCTTGGGAGCATGAAAATATGGAGTTCTAATGCTTCATGGAAAACCCAGGGTAGTCTTCTCTGACATTTCCTCTTTGGAAGGTCAATCTGCTAGTGACTTTGTTTGTTTTCCAAGTTTCTATTTTGTCTGTTATTTTAGGACTGATTCCTCCAAGAGGAAATATATCTCCATGAAGTAATGATGTACTTAATTAAATTCCTTTGCAATTTCAATTCCACCCAACATTAAATGACTACTGCATTTAAGTAGTTACACAATTGCCGAGTATTGCTTGAGTGTGGATATGAATACTGATGAAGATGCCAAACTTCTGTGACAGTTTGCCAGTGTACTCCAGTGGCAGAGGACATGGAAAAGCACCATTTTTCTTTCCACCATAGACACCAAGTGGCACCACAAGAAGATTTCCATATCTTATGAGAATAATTGATTTAAAATGACTTTTCTACAAAAATGGCCATACACAAAACAACTGTGACACACATTTCCCAATACTGTCAGGTTTTAAATTGTACCCCTTCTCGGGGTCTTAATACCGTTCACCTAGGACACTTCATGGATTTTATGTGGGGGGTATAAATAAATTGAAGTTTCCATTGATCTGCACACAAGACATTTTGTTGGTTTCCCTTCCTTAGATATAGTCAAGATGTATTTTGATACTTTCCATAAATGACCCTGTTAAAAATATCATTTGCTACACAAATATTATTTGTGGGACTGACCAAGGAAGTCACATATCTTCCATTGCAGCACTTTTTAAAATCCAGTATGATCATGAGCTCTTTTTAGAGATCATGCAGGTTTCTTAAAAAATGATTTTGTCACTAAGAGTTATTCGAGTAGGCACTCATGGAAAATGTTGATATTATATCCTAGGGAATTATATGATAAAATACTTCTGATTTTAAAATATTCCTTGCTGGGGACTAGAGAGATGGCTTAGCAATTAAGAGCACTGGTTGCTTTTGCAGAAGACCCAGATTTGAAAATCCAACACCAACATGGTGGTTAACAACCATCTGTAACTTCAGTTCTATAGAATTCAATGGCCCTTCTGTCTTCCGTGGGCACTGTATGACATGGAGGCATAACATGACACACATGCAGGCATAGAAAACATAATAAAGTACACTTATAAAATACTACTTGCAGTGCTAAAAAACATATTTTTACCACTTTTAAATGTATTGCCACTTAAGACAGAAAAGTGAAGAAATTAAGGTAACAATGAGAAAAAGTACAAAGTAGAAGTTTTGATATTCAAATTTAAAATTATTGTCATACTGTTTAGTCAAGAAAATAGCTGAATGACTTTTTAAATTAACAATCATTTGGAAAATAATAATGTTGGCATTTTAGAAACTTGGGTACAGAGTCTTGAGGCACCAATAAACAAATAAATGAATGTTTTGGCAATTAACTTTAGCTGATTAAGTAAAATAACTATTCTTCATTCATTAAGGAACTTCTAGCTCATAATTATAGAATATAGCTTACCAAATCTATGTATCTCACCTCCTATGAGTAAGTATTCTTTTTCATGACTGGCAACTACCACCAAAAAATCTGGTTGAAAAGTTCATCTTTTTATATTAAACATATGAACTTTAAAAGTTTTAAGACTATAACATATAAGAAAGCTGTTTTGGTGCATTATGAGAGTCAAAACTGATATCGTGGTACAAAATGGTGGTGTGTATTCTGCATAATATGTATTTAAGCAGAAACTTTTAGATGGAATCAACAGAGAATGAACACCTTATTACATCTCAAAATAAGTTCTTAAAGCATATACTACAAAAAGCACTTATGTGCATATTCCTCAGCGCTGTAAGAGTTAAGAGCTATGTGGATGGAAAAGTTTAGAACCAATAGTTCCAAGTAGGTACTTAGGATAAGGAAGACAGTAATGACGATTTGTATATAATCAGGAATAATGTGAGGTCACACACTGCATTTGTCCCAAATGTTCTGGCAGTTCATTGAATCTTCCATGAGTTT